GTTTTTTTCCCCCAGAGTATGAACTTCTGTTGCGGGGGTATGCACGTGTGACAATTTCAACCTGGGAGGCTCACAAACAGAGAAAGGAAAGCCTCTCTCTGCAGGTACAAATCTTCAAGATCAATGATGATTTCCTTGTGCTGATGTGGCTCTATAGTCACAAGTAATTTTTTCTGAGCCCACACAGAAAGTAAAACTAGCAAGGCTGTGACTACATCTGGACTAATTGTCCCAGTTAACTCCATGGCCAGGGCACGCCTGACCTGAAAGCTGGTTTAGCTTACATTTTCCCTATGTCAAGTGAAACAGAACACCTGCTCTGAAAGCAATGAGCCAATGCTCTGGAGTTAGAACTGAAGCATTATATACACCGTAATCATTGGGATTTTCATCGGTTTATAGCTTTTAAAAACTTGGGGAAAATTAGTTAACTAATTGAGTTAATTCATCAGTCAAGTTTATTCCTGAATACTTTTTCCTCACGTAATCTTTTACCTTTTCTTTATATTGAAAATATAATCTTTCTTACAATACCATTACTTAGCAATTTGGATTGCCCTCCCAACCTCAAGTGGTGAGTAGTTACAAATAGTTAGAATTTCAACAAAGAGTATGTTTTAAAGAGAGAAGATATCTATTCAGAAAGTTCCCACAGGGATTCTGTCACATCTTAGTGCTGCCAGTTAATAGTCAACTACTTAGCTACTGCTAAACCATCCTTTGAAACTGTTGCATATGGGAAGGTACAGGACTGTTAGGAAGAAGCTGCAGCACAGAAACAAGAGAGCTTGGCAGAGCACAGAAAGTAGCAAGGTCATAAACTTGAAAGCAGCCGCCTTGTCCAAGACAGGATCAGCTTTACCTACATTGTCCCCAATAGGTGCACGTCTACCCCTCCTTTAACAAAGGTTGCACGATCACATCAGATCACCCTTGTGCTACACCGCTCTCAGCTGTTCCTGCTACCCAACTTGAGTCTCCCCTGCTACATAACTAGAACAGTACTGCTTATCACACCCAAAACAGATAGTTTACAAAAACAGTCCCTCCAAGTGCAGAGACAGTTTAGGGAGATGAGTGGTCTTGGACACAAGCTGGCTGCTAGGGAAGTTTTACTACTAATACAGGATTGCCTATAAAGATCTGAATACCTAGATTCTCAATCTCAAGCCCCCACCCTACGAGGGGAAAAAGAACTCGTTCACTGTGCTGTTACAGATGTACGCTACACTGAATTCCCTCCTATTAAGCTCAAAGACCGAGTTTCCACTTCCCTGGCTCTGTTGCAAGGGATTTGGACAGGTGAAAGGACAAGTTTAAAGCTGCATTTGGAGCAGTTCCACAATGATACTGGGAGACAGTGTAGAGGGAGGTGCACAGCAGATCAACACTGGAAGCTGCCAAGTGAGATTTGTCTCATCATATTACTGCCAGGTGTTTTGCACACCTCAGGGAGAGCAAGAGAGAAGCTTTGGGAAGTCAGGCAGGGGAAGAGACAGGGAAGCTTTCTGCAGAGACAGTGGGGGAAAACTTGCGCATCTGGTCAGGGAAAGAATTAAGCTCCTGCTTGAAGGCTGGTTCACTGTAGTGAAAGACACAGATGTCTCTGCAATAAGGATTTCATGGAGATGGGAGAGAAAAATAATAAAGCAAGACTTACTATACCTGTAGCCTTTACACATGGAGAAGCTACATATAAAAGCCCAGCAGTTACTGGAAGAGATTCCCCATGAAGCACTGCTATGTTACGTTCCCACTGCAGGTCACCTTGGTCCTCCACCAGGACCACCCCACCAGGAGACCCCAGGAACTGGGTTAATCAAAGCAAACTTTCAATTAGCATTGACAGTAGGGCCAATAACATGACAGACAAGCATACAGGAGCCTGTTTGGCAACTGTCAGCTTCTAGCAGGCTACACAAACTCTCTCAGAAATCTCACTATCACCACTGTTGGGGCTTACCAGTCTTCCACATCTCTCTGGATCAGATGTTGAGAAGTGCCATCTCTCCCTCATACGCCCTGACAGTACTTCTCCAGTGAGGTGGTCTGATGGCCCCTGTTGACATAAACCTAGCTACACTCTTCTCCCAAGAAGGCCTGGAAATCTAGGACTTCAGCTTACATGCACACAGCAGTGTGAAGCAGCTACCGCCTAACTGCTAAGTGACTTTGGGTGCGCAAACTCACTGCAAGCTGCAACTGCATGAAAACAAAAGGGCAATGCTTGGTCGTACTGCAGTAGGGAGCACAAAATTTGAGAGGAAAAGGGCGAGGAAGGTGGCCAGCTAAGCAAAACGGGACAGCAATAAAAAACACTAGTGGACAAAGCAATTCCTGTGATGATGCATGCTAATTACAAAAGGCAATGTGAACATCATACTTCCTTCCAGTGTGGGTTAATTCACCAGGATGGAGATGGCAAACACTTCTGGTTTTAAATAGAAAGTACCTCACCTTTCCTCTCCGCCTCCTCCTACAAACAAGAAAGGAGAAATAAGTGCTATCAAGCACAGACAAGCCCTTCAGCTAGCCAGGAAACAAGGCAGCACAGAACTGAGTGGAGCCTCGAGATCCCTCCCCTTCTCCAAAACTGGGGAGAAACATAGCTTTTCAGTGTGTCCTTTTACCCTTCCCACTTCCACACCTGTGACAGAGTGGCTGCGCTCCCCATCCCGCTCACCCTGCCTCAGGCGATGGGGCGGCCCACACACCCAGGCTGCTGCAAACACACTCCTGGCAGAGAAAGCCCTGCCCTGCAATGACGGGCTGCGCCCAGCCACCCCGCTGGAGCTGCATCAGCAGCCTGAGACACTCCACAGACCACTGGGCTGCCTGTTGGTGCACAGGGGGGCTCCTCTTCTGAGCCATTCCCCTTTTCGTCAAGGGAGCAGCAAGAGCTTCTGGCAATGAGAGGACAAAGTCATTCACAACAGGTGTGGACAATGACATCAATTTGAGTGACATGGACAAGGACATTGATTTTTCCTATTAAAACAAAGGCTTTCCCAAGCAATGAATTGCTTGGCCATATCCTTGGTGGTGCAGCCGCAGCTTGGTGTAGAAATGCCAAAGCCAGCTTTAAGTGCTGCAGCTCAGGCAGGAAAGAGCGCCACATAGGTTGTAACACCCACTCGACGGGGGACAAAGGTGGCCCCCGACCGCTCTTTT